CCTCCTCCTCCCCTCCTCCTCTCCTCCTCTCCTCTCCTCCTCCTCTCCTCCTTTCCTCCTCTTCTCTTCCTCTCCTCTCCTCCTCCTCTCCTCTTCCTCCCCTTCTCCTCTCCTCTCTTCCCCCTCTCTCCTCTCCTCTCCTGCTCTCTCCCCAGGGTATGTATGTGGGGAACTTAAGAGAAAGTTTGTTGTTTAGTGGTTCCCACTCTACTGGCGTAAAAATTGGTGATAATTCAGAAGGGGCCTGTTGCAGTCTTGGTGACAGTCTTTGCAGTGTACCCAGAGTACTTATGACACCCTCTCCTGGATGCATCGTCTCCATAGAGCACCCTTCTGTGCTGCGGTGATGGCTGTGCCAGTTAGAAGTTGCTCTGGTTGCCCGCAGCCCGCCTTGAGATACTTTACTCTGGCAGCGGCTTTCTTAGCCGTGCGTTGCGACATCAGCATATGAGTGTAGACACCTGATATGGCTGGGTGAACAGTTCATCATGTGGGTTCTTCCTTAATTGGGCTGCCCTTCCCCTCAACTAGTTCAAGTTTTGACCTTTCTGGAAGTGTCGTGTTCCCTGAGCTTTAATCACCACTGTGGGCTGGGCCTGCTGGGCATGGCATTGAGCAGAGGAATGACATCCATACCTTGATGTCTGTGCCGCGGGAGGCGCTGGCTGCCTGGCTCCCTGGGAGCTCAGCGGGCCCCCCACTGGCTCTCTCCTTTCTCGCCCCCTCCCCTGAAGTGGTGGCCCCTTTGTTCTGGGCTCCATCACTGAGGAGAGAAGAGGGCACCTGCATTTACCCATCGCTCACAGCAGGACAAGTACCACGCTGTTGCAGAATCTCATTTAAAGCTCAGAACAGCCCTGTAAAGGCATCACCTCCCTGCTCTAAAATGAGGAAACTGAGGCCCAGTAAATGACTCACTCAGAGCCAAACAACCAGTAAGACATTCTGCTTCCTGACCGTATATTATCCTGCACACAGCAGCCTTCACTCAAAGTGTGACACATCCCCCCCGTGCATTCAAGTGACCTGAGTGGGGGTGGAGGACGGAGGCTGCTGTTAAAATGCATTTTCTTGGGCCTTTGCTGAATTCGAGTTTTTGAGGATAGGGCCCTGGAATCTGCATCTTCAATAGGCATACCCCCATCCCTGCTCCCAGGTGATTCTTTACACACTGAAGTTTGACAACCTGCCCTTGATCCTCTCTTTGGGGAGATCAGAAAAGGAAATTCCACAGCTGGAAATGTGTGAGTCAGAGGCTGCAGGCAGACCCAGCTCTACCCTCCGTGGGAAAGGGAAGGACTGCCCTCTAGTCCCAGATAGACTAACTCCCCTGGACTGCCAGACAGATGGCCATTCTGGGAGACAGCAGTTTGACCTGTTTGCTCAGCCGCTGTCCTCTCCACCCTGAGGGACCTTAGGGCTTCAGATGTGGGGAGTTCCTCCCATTTGCCTTATAGTTATAAAACGGTTGTTATAAAACGATCCCTCATAACTGCACAGCGTTTTCGTGGGATTTCGTGGACATGATCTCATCCGAGCCTTCCAACAGCCCTGGGAGGTAGGCACGGCAGGCACGGGAGGCAACTCGGCCCCAGGCGCACATGGGTAGGTAATCAGTGGGAAAGTGTCCCTAGCTGCTTCCCTTCCTTCCCCAGGAGAAGTGACTGCCACCAACAGGCCCCCCAAGGTCAGCAAGCTTGGCCTGTGGCCTTTTGCTTTTTCACACCCACAGAAGAGGTGAAGCTGGGGCTCTTTGCAAGCAACAGCAGCCTATCCCACCCCAGAGTCCTGAGCTCCACGTCAGCAGGGCAAGGGGACGGATGGTGTTGTCTCTCTCTACCCATGCAACTCGGTTTGCGTCCTGCTGTGGAGGATGAATTGGAGGGTAGATGTAAGCAGGAGAGAGCAGTTACGAAGCTCCTAGAAGCGTGGTAGGAAAGGAGGAGGATCCGAGCTGGGGCGGTACCAGTGGGGACAGAAAGGATTGACCCTGAGAAGGTGCCCGCAGTGGGGCCTGCTGGATTCAGTGACCGATGGGATTTGATAGGTGGGGAGGAGGAGGAGGCTGGTAGGCCTGGGCTTCTGCCAGAGTAACTGGGAGGTTGTTGATCTGGGGAGTGCCTGTGTGACTGAGGGACACGTCCAAGCCGTAGTCAGCTCTGTGGATGTGGACACCTGGCAGAGCCATGAGTCTGGGTCATCCAAACATATGTGGGGTACAGGGGCCAGATGGAGCCCTCTTGTCATTTTTGTTATCTGACGGTAATTATGAAGTCCAGAAAGAGAATTGGAAACGCTGGCAGTTTAACTAAAGCTGGATGGCAAGAGAGGGACATTTGGAGGCTCCCTACCTGCCTTCACTCCCCGTCCTGCCGCCCAGGCAGGATATCAGATGAGGAGACGTTGAGCTCACAGAACACCCCATGAGAAGTCTTACAGCATCAGAGGCTGTCTGCCAATGCGCCTGCGATGGCTTATAGAAACTGCTGCCACCTCGAATTAACCTCTCTCCCTAGGCATTGTGCATCAGTAGGTAACCAGGTAAAGGACACCGGGGGTGGGTAGCCAGCTGGAGGGGGCGTGATTTCCTCCCCCAACAAAACCTGCTTCCCTGTGTTCTGAGCCCATGATGTCCTGTTTTTAAACCCGATTTTCCATCTACACTGGGAGCTTTGAAGTTCGCTCAGTGTGGAGAATCACGTGCTCAGTGAAAGACCCAAGCGGAGAGAGTGGGGAGCTGGTTCCCCTGGGCCTGACGCTGCAGAGCTGAATGTCAAAGCAGGGCCCTCAGAGACCTAAGCGGAGGGTAATTATCACTTCTCCACAACTAGATTGCAGGAGTCAGCCAGCAATTGATTTTTTTTTTTCTACTACAGATATTTCATTGTTTAATTGGTAGTGACACAGATGGCTGGCTCGCACCAGGGCGTCACAGTCCGACTCGCGAAAGCCAGACTGTGGGGACTGCGGCCTCTCCCGACATCCTTGGGCAGGTGGGGCTAGGACAGGCCAGCTTCCCTGCTTAATTTTTCAACCACAAAGCAAAAGTAAGCGTCTGAACCTGAGACATGCTTCTGTGAACCGGTCAAGCTGTCCTCAGCAACATGGGTCCACTCTAAGCTGGACACCTTGGAGTGTTCAGAAATGAGAGGAGGACAGGGAACTCTGGCCTAGACAGCACGTGGGAGATAAACTATCAGGAGCACTTGGAGGTGGCGATCAAGTATCAGAGCCCTGGAAACTGCATTGCTGGTGGAATGAAGCCAGAACTCTGCACATTGTGTTCAAACCCTTCGTATCCAGCCCATGTACCTTCACCCTTATTCCTACCCAAACCTGCCCTGAACTGTGCCAGCCCAGCTGGAGGACTTGAATGTGATTTTTGGTTGTTTGGTTGGCTATATTGGACCCCAGGTGCAAAATGCTGATTGTGCACCTTAGTTCACGGCACATTGCCACCGGTGAGCCTTGGAAGGCCTCTTACTTTACCTTTCTCCTTCCCTCCCAGTCCTTTCTCCTTCCCTCCCACTCCTTTCTCCTTCCACAGGCAGCCACCCTCATGTGTTCAGCCTATGTCCTCAGACATCTTTGTATCCTTGAAAAGTGTGCAGTATTATTTTATGTAGTGTGCTGTGCTGTTTTGTTTTGTTTTTTGAGATGGAGTCTTGCTCTGTTGCCCAGGCTGGAGCGCAGTGGCACTTTCTCAGCTCACTGCAACCTCCACCTCCCGGATTCAAGCCATTCTCCTTCCTCAGCCTCCCTGGGATTAAAGGTGTGCGCCACCATGCCCGGCTAATTTTTGTGTTTTTAGTAGAGACGGGTTTCACCATGTTGGCCAGTCTGGTCTCAAACCCTGACCTCCGGTGATCTGCTCACCTCAGCCTTCCAAAGTGCTGGTATTACAGGTGTGAGCCACCGCGCCCGGCCTGTAGTATGTTTTTATTTACATGAATGGTATTAGGCTATAGATCTCACTCTTTAACATTTTCATTTGAACTATCCATTTTAAAAGGAATTATCCAAGTTACGACACATGGAACTAGTCCGTCGCTTCTGTCTGCTGTAAAACATTCTATCACATTCCTCACATTTTCCTTACCCAGTCTTCTAGAAATAGACATCTAAGTTGTTGCCAGCTCCTTGCTATCCCAAAGAGAGATGCAGGGAACATATTTGTTCTGGCCCCATATAGACCTGTGCAAAGATCCAACAGATTCCCAGGGGTGCATGGCCAAGAGTGGCTTTTCTGGCTTGTAGCTATGCACATGCTCAAATCCACTAACTTTTACCTGTTGCTCTACAGAATAGCTGCACCAGTGTTCTCACCCACCAGCAGTGACAAAGGTCCCCCTTCCTCCACCTACCAATATTTTGGATTATCCAATTTTCTGATTTTTCATTAATCTCGTAGTTGTAAAGTGGTCTCTTCCTTTCTCTTTTTTTTTTGGAATGGAGTTTTGCTCTTGTCGCCCAGGCTGGAGTGCAATTGTGCGATCTCAGCTCACTGCAACCTCCACCTCCTGGATTCAAGCAATTCTCTTGCCTCAGCCTCCCGAGTAGCTGGGATTACAGGCATGTGCCACCATGCCCAGCCAATTTTTGTATTTTTAGTAGAGACGGGGTTTTACCATGTTGGCCAGGCTGGTCTCGAACTCCTGACCTCAGGTGATCAATCCGCCTTGGCCTCCCAAAATGTTGGGATTATAGGCGTAAGCCACTGCACCCGGCCATCTCTTTGTTTTAATTTGAAGTTTTCTGATTACTAATGAAGATTACTTCTTTTGCCTGGTGCAGTGGCTCATGCCTGAAATCCTAGCACTTTGGGAGGCCGAGGCAGGCGGATCACTTGAGGTCAGGAGTTTGAGACCAGCCTGGCCAACATGGTGAAACCCTGTCTCTACCAAAAATACAGAAATTAGATGGGCGTGATGGTGTGCACCTGTAATCCCAGCTACTTGGGAGGCTGAGGCATGAGAATCACTTGAACCTGGGAGGCAGTGGTTGCAGTGAGCTGAGATCGTGCCACTGCACTCCAGCCTGGGTGACAAAGGAGACTCCATCTCAAAAA